TTGCAGACGCTGCTGCTGGGCCCTCCCATCAGCTTGAGGAGCACCTCTCTCTCAGAGTGCTCCAGCTGTTTCCAAACCGGCAGGGTCCCAATGCCGAGCGGGTCCCCACGTGCAGGTTGAATGGGCGGCAGGTGATTGTCCTGCCTTCCCGCTGACCCATGCCGCTTGTACAGCAGGGGCTGCCACTCATGGGGCTGGCCGCGAGCATTCGCCTGCTGCTGCCTGGACATCTTGAGTGTGCTTTGCCAGACACTGGCCACAAGCACACCGGGTAGCTGCTGCCTTCGGAGAAGCTGCTGCCTCCTCAGAGAGCTGCTCTCCCGAGAGTGGCGACTGTCGGTATTTATAGCCCCCATGGTCATGACGTTGACCTGTGTCACAATGGCCTCTGCACGTGATGTCACCGCGGGTCACAAAGGCCTGGTGGGCAAGGCCACGCCCTGTCCCTGAGGCCTGGCGGTTTCCATGCAGCCAAGCCTGGTCACAAAGGCCTTTTTTAGGCCTTTTCCTTTTGACTTTGCCTTTGCTTGTTCTGGTCCCAATGACCTACAGCTCTGTGTTGTGCCACCTTGTATGTTCCTCCCCTAAACATCCCCAAAGAAGCCCTGTGCCATGCTGAAGTGTTTTACCCACCCAGCCCACCTTGTGTCCCTGCTCTGAACCTAGGCAGAAGGATCATCAGCAAGGCAAAAATTCATACTGGAATTTGTATCCCTTTTGCCTAATGATGAGGGTAGAAAAATAGCATTTTTCCGAAGGTTGCTGTTCTGGTTTCGGGCATTTTTGGGAGAAAACCTCCAATGGGGCCTGCCCCGGGAAGCAAACTTACGTGGCCCCTTTCTCTCAGCCCCCAACCGGTTCGGGAAGAGATTTCTCTGAGAAAAGTGGAAAAATACTGTTTATTTAACAGGCACAGCACTACCCAGCACAAGAATGAACAATATCGAGTTACAAAACCTCTCGCCGCTCTGAAGAGATGACAAATTCAGAGGGTTTCTTTTCTGTGGGTGTCTGTTCTGTTATCAGTCCCTCTGGTGCTGGAAAATGCTGCTGCCCAGGCTGGGCTCCCGGTAGTCCACGGGTGCAAGCTCCCGGTGCTCCCCGAGTCCCCAGTTCAGAGCAGGTTCGATTCATTTCAGAAAAATGGAAAGAAAACAGTCCAGGAAGACCTCTCTGCTGCAGCTAGCTGGAAAGCCAAGGCGATCTGTGTCTTGTTGTCTGTCTGTGCTGTAGTCAAAACCCTGTCCCGGGATGCGGGGGGAGCAATACAGTCTCTGATAACAGACTCGGTGCTTCTTTTCCACTCACTTTTACTTTAAGATGAAATTTTAAGGATACAAAACCTATTTCTGGGCTAGGTGGACGAATGGCGATACAATTTAACATCAGAATCACCCCAGGACAGTTATCTTTATTTTTTAAATGCATTTGCTGTAGCATATACCTCCTACACTCTTGTTTTTTATTTGTCATAACAGCCTTACAAAGCTTTCATCAGCCTTCCACTGATGTGTTCATTTAGGGCTGCCCCATCAGGTGTAGATGCTTTTTCAGACAATGCCAGTGACAAAAAATCAGGTTTGATGATGAAGGCAGTCAAGCAGAGCTTTAGCAGTAGCTTGTTACTTCTGGGTTATGGTACAGAAGAATTGATAGTACACCCACATTTTAGGATAAAATGAATACCTTTCTCAGAGAAAAAATGGTGGGTTTATGCATTTGATACCTTCTGTTAACTTTTTATTGACCAAAAAAAAACCCACCCTGAGCCCACTGAGTGGTAATGCTGAGGGATATAAAAATCAGTTACTTAGGTGGTGTCACAGGGGAAGAGTGAAACAGCTTTACCCTCTGCAAAAATGAAGATACCTGGGAGTGCTCTGTCAGTATGGGAAGTCTCTTTGCACGAGAAAGTTCTTGCACGCCATAGTATCAGGATATTGCTGGCTGTGTGACAAGCTTTGGAAATAGTTTTAAACATTGTCCAGAACTGACTGTTCCATGCAAATTTATCAAATACCCTCAAGAATGTGCTGTCAAAGAGATGGCACTTGTCCCTCTTCCATGTCGAGCAGCATCCTACACACTGGTGTAGGACAAAGGAACTTTTCCATTCTGCACCATGATCTGGTGCATGAAAATGCACTTAGACTGCCTGAAGTGAAAGGCTTTTAGTTTTCTTTTTTCTTCATCTACTGAAACATTTGCTAGCTTAGTCTGTTTATGGTCACGCTTTCTATGAATTTTTCATTATAAACAGCTAAAGGTTTTGTAAATAATTAATTGCTTCTACAAGCATCTTACAGACACAAGCACCTGGATAAGAAGTACTTTTTAATTCTGAAAAACTGTGGAGTGGGCAACATATTGGGCTGCTGGGCTTTCTAAAAGCTAATTTCAGAATGCTTATTAAAAGATAACTTATAAATTAACCCTTTATGGGTAATCTTCAAGGAATATTTCACTATATGTAATTTCAAAATAAGCATTACAAAGGTTCGGGGTAATTCTGCTGTTTCTTTGTCTGACCATGAAAATATCTACAAAAGCTCTGGTTTGTAGCCAATTTCAGATCAAAGTTGGCTGTATGAGCTCTGAGCTGTCCTGGGACTGGGAGTCCTTTGAAAATTTGCATTGGAGCTCTTTGGGGTTGTGCCTCCTATGGAGGTTCTGAGGCTGACGCAGCTCGGTCTGGAGAGAAAGGAACAGCTCTGGCCTTCCCATGGCACTACACCACTCAGAAAATGAGAAACTGAAACAGTCCTTTACCCTGTCTCTGCTCCCTCCATGCAACCAGATGTGCTGAGGTATGGTTCCCTGTGAAACCTGGGAAATGTCCTAAATGAAAAAAAAAATCTCATGAAAACAAAGAAAGTGCAAAGAATTAGATCACAGGAGGAAAAAAAGAAATTGCTCTTAAAAGGGGAACCCAAACCAATCCCAACTAGAGGTCTGTCCCTGTTGTAGTTTAGGGCATAAGCGGTGCGGAAGAACTCGGGATGTAACGGAAATTCAGCAGACCCCCCTCTCTGTTAAGATAGCAAGGCCCCTTGCAATTAGCCAATAGCACCTAGGTGTGACGTATGTAAATGGGAGTAACACAGTGAACCTAGGCTATAAAATGTTAAGTTTCCCTGCAATAAATCGCCATATTCGTCATCCATCACATTGATGCTGTGAGATGTGGTCCGTGCGGCTGGGGATAGCCGCCCGTGCTGGAGCTGGCCAGGGTGCCTACCTTGCTTGAAACCCAACATGTCCCAAGAATCCTTTTGCCACAACTGAAGTGTACGTAGACAAATGCTCAGTTCACTCCTCAACCCATTCAAAGGGACGTGTGGTGAACTCAGTCCAAAACATAAATTTTCTACCAAATTTTTAAAAAGTTTAATATTTTCATGACGTAGATAAATAGCACATTAATTATGTAAACTGAGGGTTTCACAAAATAATTTCAAAGTCTGCCTGCACTATTGTGAACCTATTCCATAACAACCATTTGTTTCTATATTAAAGCCAAACCAAGAGATTGTGTAAAAACCATTTAGAAACAAAGCTGTACTGCCTGTCTCACTTACCCAAATGCATCAAATTGAAAAGCACAAAGAATACCAAACCAAACCCACCTACAGATCTAGCCCTAAATTCCTTCTGCCGCAACCAAAATCTTTGATAGACAAAGCTTTAATTTAATGCTTTAATTGGTGCTTTAATTTAGCACCAATGCTAAGGTGACTCTCTTGCTGACATTCAGACAGGGAATTCAACACAGGCACACCTATGGGAAAAGGACAGTAGCTTTTCCAGTGATTCTTTAACTCTCTGGGGGTGGTGAGGCCTGGGCACAGATTGCCCAGAAAAGCTGTGGATACCCCATTCCTGGAAGTGTTCATGGCCAGGCTGGATGGGGCTTTAAGCAACTTGGCCTAGTAGAAGGTGTCCCTGCCCATGGCAGGGGGTGTTGGAATAAGATCTTTAAGGTCCCTTCCAACCCAAACCATTCTGTGATTGTCTCTCCACCGTAAGCCAGGGTTTCTCTCAAGTGGAACTCCTAAGCTTCTATGGTTACATAGAAGGGACAGGGATTAGAACCTCTTTCGGTGTCCTTGATTGTGATATCAAAGCTGTAGGTTATGGAAAACCAAGGTGTTCTTACATGTTTTGAGTTCCTGCAGTGGCTTCAGACTCATCTTTTTGTGGACTGGATATTTCTTTTATAATCAATCTCCTTCATATGTTGATAAATTGAGGCTGTTTGTGAATCTAAGGGGAAAAATGTATAAAAAAAGAGAAAAAGCTTCTCTCACATGTTTGAAAAATATCTTCACAGTCCAACAGCGTCTTCTCTCTCCTCCATCCTCCCATGCCTCTCAGCACATTGCCTGGCTGTGTTATTCCCGGTTCAGCTCCCTGCTCCCGTGCTGGGGCCAGTCACCTTGTGCAAAGTCAAGTGGCTGCAGAAGTCACGCAAGCGGGTCAGTGCCTGGGCTCTCTGCACTCAGGGGACAATCCTGCACAGAGGCTTGGCTCGGGCTGCTGTGTTGGAGCTTCCCTCAGCATCTCTACTGCTTGAGCTAAAAAATACGGGGCCAGATTGATGGGGATGTCAGAAGTACATTTTCCCAGAGGTCAACAAAATCCTGGTAATGATGCAATGCTGCAGTGCACTCCTCCTAATCCAATCAAAGAGCTCAGTGGTTTGGGCCCTACCAAATGAAGTTTAAGGTAAGCATGTGAAACGTGGCTGCTCCTCAGCTGTTGGCAGCTCTCCTAAGTGCTGAGACTAAGATCAGAGCAAGAAAAAAGCCTCCCATCTCCAAAAAGAAACTCACACAGACACACACTTGGAAAAAAGATGGTACTTGAATTCAGCTTTGTTTGCCAGGCTTTTTGTTTTCCTCTTTCTGATTTTAAAGCCTATTTGTTTTAGGTCCTGATTATTTCTAAAATTCTAAGAATTTTGGTGCTTCATTTTATTGGTTGAAACCATGTCTTCTCAGGTGTGAGCAGACTCAATACATTAGAGAAATTCAAGACCTTTTTAAAAGACCTCAAATTGAGTGTCCTGAAAGTTGACATGCCAGAAAACATTGTTCATTTCTGGAACTCTTTTTTTATTTTTTTATTTTTTTATATTCCTTTGAATTTAGTGCTAATAATACCAAGGTTGCAGGTTCATTCCCTGTCCAGGACATTCACTTAAGAGTCAAACCCAGTGATCATTGTGGGGCCCTTCCAACTCAGAATCTTCTGTGATTCTTTGCTCAGTAAAGGCATTGATGTTCAAAATGTAGGATCAGGGAGTACTGTAATATTTCTTCGCATTAATTAATTTCATTTAATCCATCGTATTAATTTAATCCATCGAACAGTGAATGCACCAGCAAATTTTCACACAGTTATTGACTTGGTTTATTCCATATTAAATATTTATTGCAATTTTTTCATCATGTCCTATTGAAGTTTCCCAGCTGTGTGTGAGATATATACATTTTTATATTTTATGTAATGCCATGCAGAGAGCACACAGCATTGATGGACACCCTTGTTACTTCTCATGCAGAACACTGGAATAAAAGCAAATTAAAAGTACCCTATAGATCTATCGGCAACCCAGTTTAACCCCACCCAAAAGAGAATTCTCTGGCTTTGGAGAGTGGCTGTCCCTGTCTTCTCTTTACATGCTCTGGTCCCCAGTGAAACACCTTGGAGTGAAGACACGTCTCTGTGGCTGAATTTTCAGAATTAGGCTTGCTATGAGCAGGGTGTTGTGGACTTTTCTTAGGCAGTTCCAGGATATGGTCAATACTTAATTACCTGTGAGGGGATTACCCAGTACAGGGATTAACTCTGCTGTGGCTGCAAACCACTGAGGCCAGACCTGCCTGAGCTGGCTCAGATCTGCAGCCAGCAGGACTCTGCTGGCTCTGTGCTGTAGATGTTTGTGGGTCTGAGCTCTCCTGGGATGTCTAGCTGCTTCAGGAAGGTTAAGCTTTAGCCTTATTTGTTTTTTGCTTGTGTGTTAGCTTGCTGGATAAGGACACTACTGCAAAGCACTGTCATGGCAATGAGTTAATAGTATTGAAATCCAGCTAAACCTAACTTATTAATATAAAACTTGTTTTGAAGGAAAATGAAGCCCTGAATTAATTATTTAAGACTTGATTCTTTCTCTTTCAGAAGATTTAAGTTTAGATTTTGATTTAAGTTAGATTTTAATCAGATCCCCTGATTTAAGTTTTCTCATGTACCTAATATTCTCATCTCCTGGTTTATAAGCACTTTTCAAGTTTCTGCAATGTTTTTGCACTGGTATGATGTATAAGAAGTGGATCAACTCCTCTCTGATTTGACATTCCCAACTCCGCTGAGCAAGTGTGTCTTTGGAATCTGCTTGCTCTGAGTAAACTATGTTCTTGCCAGTGTTTACTGAAGGGATTTGTTGACTGGGAAATGCAGCTATTCCTTTCACATTGATTGCAAGTCTTGCCAGCCACTGTTTTGAACTGTGTTTTGTTTTCTGAAGAGCTCATTACCCTGGCCAAGCCTTTTACTTCACTCAAGTGCAGCTTGCAAGTCTGCTATGTTCATCTCAGTTATTTCATAGAATATCCTGAATCAGAAAGGTCCAACAAGGTTAATTGTTTGTTTTGGTTTTTTGTTAGCTTGTTATTCAATAATTTTAATTTTCTTCAGAGCTATACAAGAGTTGACTACGAAAGCTCTGGTCATCCCAGGGCTAAACCTGAATGGTCCTAGAGCAGTGACTAATACACAATCCTTATTATGCATGCAGGCATGATCCCTTTTGAGCATGCCTGGGGACTTTCATGAGTCTTTCTCATGAAAGAGAAAGACTTTCTGATGCATCAATCATAGAATCATAGATCAGCAAGGTTGGAAAAGTTCACCAAGTCCAACCATCCAGACTAGATCTTCTGTCTTCTGGTCTGCTGTACTATCCCACTGCTGGACAACTCCAGCCTCAGCTGCAGGAGTGCTGGGGAACTGGGGATCAAGCTTTGGCCCGGCTGAACAGCCATGGTGGTGGCAAAGGTCATGAAGCTGTAAAAGCAAATGTTAATTCAGTAGGGGCGATGCAAAGCACTTGTGTTCGGCAGGAGCCCCAGATTCGTCTTCAAACCAGACTCCCCCTCTCTTCCATGCATGGTTACCAAAACACAATATGTGCTGCTAGGAGAGCAGCTACATTAGATGCTACAATTGGTTTTATCTTTTCCTAATGTTTGACTCTATCAAAAAGTGAAATGACATGTCCCAAAATCTGAGAAATCAGAGGGAGGCTGATTTCAGCAAAGCTTGTTTGTTTGGAAATGTCTTTTCAAGGAATGTTTTTTTTTGGTGACATTTAGTTTTCTAAGTATACTCCAGAATGAAAAATGGGCTTTTCAGAGAAGGAAAGCATTTAAAACTAAATTTTACCCTGACATATTCCATTCTTTGCCTGGGGTAAGATACAAGAATAGGCAAGTCAGAAGCCCCCTTTCATTTTTTAGAAAACTGATATTATGGTAACATAACCTCTGGTTTGTTCTTGTGGGGAAGTAGCTGGGACAGCTTTAAAGTACTTCAATTGCCATTCATGCACATGATTTAAATCAGCCTGTTCTGCTGACAAGATGAAACCTACGGGAAATGGGTTTTACTTGCTCCTTAAGTAGATAGTTTGGGGAGGAGACGGGATGTGAAATGAGGGAATCTGACAGGAGTAGCAGTTGAGATGGTGACAAACTTCATAAAAAATATGTTGAGTAGACATTCAAAAATAAGGAATTTACTTACAGAGTAAAGATGACATTTTCAGATAATATACCTTGAATGTTGCTTTTTGTTTTGTGTTATTTTCTGACAATTTTGTGTGTGCAGATTTCCTTATTTACTCCAATTTTTACTAATTCTTTGAGCCACAGGGTAGGAAAAAGGTGACAAGACTTGAATTCAAGGAATAAAGGATGAGTGTGGTGCAAAATTTACCCATTTCTCAAGACCACATACAATACAGTATCCAAAATATTAGAGAAGTATCCAAAGCATGCTGAGTGAGGAGGGGTCTGTCTTCCCTGTGCTCAGCATGCAGCTGTCCAGAGCAAGCCAGAAGATGCTAAAAAAAGGGATTTTAAAATCTTGGCTATCCACTACTTGATTCAGAGCTGCAGAGAGCACCTTTGTTCCCTCTGAATCCAGCCTTCAGCCATCCCTTGAAAGTATTACAGCTCCTTCCTGGCTTTTCATTGTGTTCAGGAAAGACATCATCCAGGTGATGTCTTTCTGGTTTCTCCATTTTGATTTACAGAGTTCCCTCCCAAGTGCAGAAATAGAGTTTTTGGACATGAGGGAGAGAGAAGGGAAAGGACTTTTCTTCACCCAGGGATTGGGGGCTGGAAGGATGTTTATTCTTACACAGGTCAGGATTAAGCACATCTTTATATCATCAGTGATCTGTCTGTCTAACCTGTTCTTTAAAAGCTCTGTAGGAGGAACTCTCCACATTTTCTGAGGGATTTCTGCTGCCCTTCATTAGCACAATCTATCAGTCTAATGTGAAGCAGTTGTTCTGCAAATTTTTCTTCCTTGATAGGCCTCTTCCATAATCTTATATGGACTGGGAGACCATTGATATATGTCTCTTTATCGCTAAGAAATCATTTCATGATTTCCTAAACAAAAGAAAGCCAGTTTTCCTGCAGGCCATTTTCAAACTTGCTATCCTTGCTGTTTTTCTCTGGACTCTCTCCAGTCTTTCTACATCTTAGTGGGATGCCCAATCCTAGACACAACACTCCAGCTGAGGTCTCATCACCCAGATAAAGGAGAATAATCCTAATTACCTCCTGTGTCTTCCATATGTCAATTCAGTCAGGAATGAGATGTGCCTTTTCTGCTACAGAAGCACATTGTTGAGTCCTATGTAGTGCTCAGCTCTCACCCTGACTTCTTTTCTGCAGCATTGCTGTTTTGCAGGTTATTTCTTATTTTACATTGGAATTCTCCTTCCTAAGCAGAACACTTATTTATTGATTTTGTTTATATCAGAGCAATTCCTCAATATGCCAAGACCATTTTTGTTTGTCATCCTGCCCTCTGGGGTCCCTGCAAGACCTCTCAGCTTGCCTTTATCAGCAAATTTTATGTGTCTTTTCTATAATATCATCCAAAGTATTACAGGTAATATTGAATGAGCCACATGATTGAAAGACCCCCAGAGGAACCCTTGTAATGCTCTCGAGTTTGATAGCAAGCTGCAATTTACAGTTGAAATGCTGTGTTTACCTGAATCCAAGACATGTTTGTAATCTCATCTTTACCCTTGTGCACAGGGTTCATTAAAGAGGAAGGTTTAAGGACTGGCCACAACTCATTAACTTCACCAGGGCAACAGCCAGTTCCTATATACAGAGGAACAGACAAGGGAGGTTGGGGTTTTTTTTTGTGTCTTCTGATCTGTCATTGGAAAGAAAGAAGTTATATGTTCTCATCCAAGGGAAAAAATGCTTAATATCTTCTCTTTAATAGAGGGGTGAGGCACCTTCATCCGCCTCACACTTACCAGTGGGAAAATGCCAGGTTTTGTGAAGCAGATAATGCATGGCAGCTTCGTGTCCTGCTGTCTGTCCTCAAAGCAGCTAAGATAGACTGACTAAACAAATTTTGAATATTTGAGATTCTCACGGCAGAAAAAATAGCATCTGGAGTGTGGATAAATATGTTCACAATGATGAAAAGACATTTTAGAAATATTATCTGTCCCGTCTTCCTCTCACATGCTTGTAGGATGTTACATGAGACTGTAAGAAAGCCTTGGTGAAGTCTCCAATTGAGAACACATCTACTACTGCCTTCTCATCCAACACTTGTGCTGCCTTGTCCAGGAGGAAATTTGGTTGATCTAACATGATATATTATTTTCAAATCCCTAATGTCTGTTTCCTATCAACTGTTTTTTACCAAAGTGCCCGTAGATTGCTCAGTGGCTCCTTCCAGAGGCAGCCTAAGGATAAAAGTGAGGCTGACTGGCCTCATGGTTTTGGGTTCTCCTTTATGTTCTTTTCTTTCTCTGCTTCAGTATTCTCTTGTGTGACTTCCTCAAGTCTTCAGAGGTAATTGCAAATGGTCCACAGATTATTTTGGTGAACTTCTTCAAAATCCTTTGAATTACATGACACCTTATGAATTTCAATAACTCTATCTTATCTACATGGTCTTTAAGCTACTAATTTTCTGTTTGAGCTTTGTCCTCTTGTCGTCTTCTAAAATTAATTGGCTTAAGTAGCTGATCATAATTTTTTTAACATAGTCTGCAGTAAAGCATTGAATTCTTCAGTCTTCTTTGGATCATGTACTATTTATTCCCTGTGAAGTAATGGACCAGTAATTTCCTATGGTTTTGCCTACTTTCAATGTATTTTTAAGACCTTTTTGTGTTACTCTTTATGATCCTTTCAACCCTCAACCCATTTAATCCCAAACCCTCACTGAGGTTTTATTCCTCGTCCTTAATGATAGACTTTTTTTTCCCTTTTGTGTCATTATTTCTTTTTCTTAGTTTATTTTCGGGCCCTTAAAGTACTCCTGATGCAGTTGTAATAGCTTCTCACTGTGCTCTCTGTCCTTCTCCTGTATCAAGATAGGCTGCTATTGTGCCTTTAATACACTCTCTTACTGTAACTGCCAGCTCTTGTGCCCTCCCTTATCCCTTAAATTACCTTCCCAAGAGACCCTTTAGATGAGTTTCCTGGGCTTGCTGAAATTTTCTTGTTTTAATTTTTTATATTTTTTTTTCTTTTTTTGGAACTTCACTATCCTCGTTCTTTTTTTTCCAACTCTTTCCTTTTTTTCTTAGAATAGTGACTTACAGCCCTTTCACCTTTCACACCCCCTTTTCTGATTCTTTTCTGACGCTGCGCTCTACACTTTCCCAGGCTTCGGGCTAGCTCCAAACAACTTGGCTAATGGCAGCGCCAAGAGTGGGGAACGACACGGGAGCGACAGTCCACGTGCCGAACCTCCAGAGCTCCTTGTGCTCGGGCTCTGTAGATCCCAGGCGTCGCGGGTTTCAGTAAAGGGATGGAGGAGGCTCAGAGTCTCTTTGTCTTCCCAGGAACAGGTTTTATTGAAGGATAAAGGGAGCAGTGACAAGGGAAAGGGCTGGGACAGTGAGAAAGGAGAGCAACTGAGCCCTGAACATCTCCGTGCTTCCAAATTTAAAGAGGGGAGGGTACAAACCGAAAACCAATCAGAACACAACCTGGGAGGAGACGAAGGAGGGGTTTACAATACTTGGAACCAATGGGAGGAAACCATGGGTGGGACGGTGGCCACAACGCCAATGGGGCCTCGAGTAGGGGATGAAGGGCATGGAAAATGCTGGAACAAAGGGCAGGATTAACAATGACGGACAAGGGCTAGGGGCAGGCTGAGGGTGATAGGCAGGGAAGGTTCAGGAACAACGGGAGGGGTTTTACTAAATTGACAACTGGGGCAAGACCATTACCTGACAGTAACAGGGGGATAACAAGAACATACCATCAAATCAAACAGAATTAACAAACAGAATGCAACATCTCCCCCTTTCTTTTTTAGAAAGAGGATGTTGCAGGGTCAGGGGGAGCAGAGGGTACAACAAACCATTCAGGAGCGGGAGAGGGTGGAGGTGAGGAGGAGGGAAATGGGTTTACATTAACATTGTTAACTTGCGATGGGGGAGATAGAAGGTGAAGAATGGATTGGACTAGACATCTTCGCAGCACTGCAAATGCGATTAAGATCATAAAAATAACGAAAACAACCCACAACACAGTCTTAATAATGGAGAGAAGCCATCCGGACAGTCCCCATCCTGAAAAGAAGTTGGTGACCCAGTCGTTGGATTCCTGCTTGATTTGGTGGATCATGCCTCGCATCTCCGCGATAGTCTGGCGGACGCTGGGGCTCTTGGTGGTAAGGTTCATGCAACAGAGTCCCTCAAACTCCCTGCAATCGTGGTCATGCAGGAGCAGCAAGAAATCGATGGCTGCACGGTTCTGTAGCGTGGCTCGCCTGGTTATCTCCTCGTCTTCGAGGAGTTCGCTCAGCGCAGTTGACGTCAAATTGGCTTGTTTGACTACCCAACACTCTAATTGGCCTAATTCGCCCAGGGCTTGAGCAGCGGCTAACCATGGCAAAAATACCGACACTGCAACCCGTTTTGGTCTATTCCAATGAAAAATTTCAGAGTCACAGTCGGGGTCAATATCCTCCAGACTGCGCTTCCTAATAATCGAATTATTTTTTCGTTCCCAATTTTCAATTTGGGTCGTGTTGGGGGCAAACAAGGACAACCGGCCTAAAGTACATGGCCCTCCGAGAAGGCGAGAGGGGATGCCAGCCCACGCTCGGTCCCCACAAATTAAAAACATGCCTTTGGGTAACTTAAGAGGGTAAGAACTAAGGGTAGAAGGCATTTTTATGTGGGCGATGTTTCTGCACCACGTGGCAGCTTGAAACTGTTTGTTATCTTGTATTAACTGAGGATACAAAGTAGGATCTGAAGGATAATAACGGAAGTGGATACAATAGGGTGCTGGGGAGGAGTTTAACAAATCAAATTCTTGGGGCTCAGCAGTAGCCCGTTCCAGGGAGGCCTGCCAGTCTCTCCAAAGGAGGAGGGGATTCTGGACAGGTCTCTTTACTTTATAGGTTGGTGCAGAGCGGATTACTCGCTGAGCCGGTCTGCCTTTATTAACCTCTTCAACTAATTGTAACAGGGACTCTGGGTACTCATCTGGTTTTAATGGGATCCCCACCAGGCAAGTGGTCATCGGATTTCCTGCTGCTCCGGTGGATAGGCACAATTCGTCTCGTTGCAGGGACTTTGCTAACATGACCCAGACATTTTGTTTGGGCTGAGGCACGATCCACATTGCAGTCCGGGTCACCAGCAGCATCAGGAGTACGATGGTTGGGGTGATGGTCAGGGTTGTCATATCCAGGATGGCTCTTCTCTATATAAAAAAAAAACCATACGCTTGGTTTAGCATACTGGGAAAGGTGGGTTAATCAAAAAAGGGACTCGAGGTTTCCTCCTCCTCTTCTCTGGGGGGTTGGGGGGGTGACCTGTTCGGACGTTGCTTCTTTTTCCGGGCTGTCTGGTGGCCTGGTTGGATGTTTGGGGGCATAAGGCTTCACCCACCTCTGCGGGATCCACCTCAGCCCCTGGGGTGAGGAAATGCAGGCATAACCTCGCCCCCAGGTCACCAGTTCAAATGGACCCATGATCTTCTGGGTTTCCGGGTCTCGGACCAGCACTGGAGGGCGGTGTTGCAACTGGTAGTTGCTGGCTGACATGAAGTGCCGGGCCACTGGAGGGTTTAAATCATTATCTGAACAATTTAGGAAATTGATAGTAAAAAGAGCTTTGCACAGCCGGTCTTGTGGGGTGCAGCCCTTCATGGTCTCTCTTTGATGGGTCAGGACGCGTTTGAGCGACTGATGGGCTCGCTCAACGATTGCTTGGCCTGTGGGGGAGTGTGGGATGCCTCTTTTATGTTGCACTCCCCACTCCTGCAGGAAATCCTCCAGTTTCCTGGAGGTATATGCTGGGCCATTATCTGTTTTGATCTCTCTGGGGACCCCCAACACAGAGAAAGCCTGCATGAGATGTTTACAGACCTGCTCAGCTTTCTCTCCTGTGTGGGCAGAGGCGTAGACTGCACCTGAGAAAGTGTCAATGGAGAGGTGAACATATCTGAACCTACCAAATTCAGGGACATGGGTGACATCCATCTGCCACACCTCGCAGCTCCCCAGGCCTCTAGGGTTAACCCCCGATCCCAGGGACGGCATCGCGGTGGACTGGCAATGTGGGCATGTTGCCACAATGGCCCTGGCCTGGTCTCGCCTCAGGTGGAATTGGCGGACCAGTCCAGGCACATTCTGGTGGAACATCTGATGGCTCAACTTGGCTTGCTGGAAGACATCAGGAAGCTGAGCCATTCTAACAGGGGCAGCGAGGGAATCTGCTCTTTCATTTCCCTCGGCTACCGGGCCCGGGAGCTCTGTGTGCGATCTCACATGCATGACAAAAAAGGGCTGCTTTCGGTGAGAAACGGTATAAATCAATTTCGAAAGCAGCTCAAATAGCTGGGGATTAGAGATCTCCTTGAGAGCTGCGTTCTCAGCTCTCACTACAACCCCTGCAACATATGCCGAATCAGTTACCAAATTGAATGGTTCAGAAAACCTCTCAAAGGCTCTGACGACAGCATCTAACTCAGCAACCTGTGGAGATCCCTCCACATACTTAATATCCGTTTCCCACTGCTGAGTCTGAGGATCCCTCCAAGTCATCACTGACTTGTGGGATGCTCCAGATGCGTCTGTAAAAACAGTCACAGCTTTGAGGGGTTTTCGGCTCCTAATTTCTCTCGGAATCAAATTAAATTTTGCATTGAAAAATTTGTGTGCAGGGGCGTGGACTGAAACTTGTCCACTGTAACTATCTAAGGCAATCTGGAGAGTCTCATTCTCCTGCAATAATTGATTAAACATTTCTTTAGTCAGCTTATCTGGGGACGCTTTGTCCCGAGACAAGCTGACTGGTACCCGTATACATGAAAAATCGCACCCAGCCATCTCCCGAAGCCTTGCTCGAGCTTTCCTGATGAGCTGAGCCATCAGCTCCTGTGGCCTGGTGATACTTTTGGACCTCTGGTGGCTCAAGAAAACCCATTCTATGATCAAGAGAGGGTCCTTGGAGCCCCGGTCCCACTGGAATATCAGCCCACACAGGTGTGGTAACTTCCCCAATACAATAAACTCAAATGGCAGGGCTGGCTCGTACCTGTGTGCCTGCCTCTCCATCAGAGCTTCCTGCACTCTCTCGAGGGCTTTCTTCGCCTCTGGGGTCAGGGACCTAGGAGAACTCAGCTCCTTCTCCCCCTTCAATAGGACGAAGAGGGGGGCTAGGTCCTCAGTCGTGAGGCCCAGCCAAGGCCTGACCCAGTTCAATGTCCCACACAGGGAATGGAGGTCTGCCAGAGTTTTAGGATCGCTGTTTATGGCCAATTTTTGAGGAACAATGGTCCTCTCAGCGATCTGTAGACCCAGGTACCTCCAGGGTGGCATCCTTTGAACTTTATCTTCCTGGAGTTGAAATCCCGCGGAGGTCAGAACTTCAACCACCAGGTCAAGCGCTCGTGTGAGTAGATTGTCATGGGGGGCGCACACTAGGACATCATCCATGTAGTGATGGATGATGACCTCCCCCATTTTAGCGCGTACAGGAGACAGCAATGAGGAGACGTACCACTGGCAAATGGTGGGTGAATTTTTCATGCCTTGCGGCAACACTCGCCAGTGGAATCTCCTCACTGGGGCTTCTCGGTTAAGAGTGGGCACCGAGAAGGCAAACCGTGGGGCATCGTCAGGATGTAGGGGAATTTGGAAAAAGCAATCCTTTATATCAACTACTGCCAATTGCCAATCTCGAGGGAGCATGGTTGGGGTAGGCATCCCCGGCTGAAGGGGTCCCATGTCCACAATGATCTTGTTGATTTCTCGAAGGTCGTGAAGGAGCCGCCACTTGTCCTTCCCCGGCTTACGGATTACAAATACCGGGGAGTTCCAAGGGCTGGTGGTCTCGACTATATTGCCCTTCGCTAACTGCTCCTCCACGAGTTCGTTGAGCGCCTTTAATTTATCTTTCCTGAGCGGCCACTGATCAATCCAGACCGCTTCGTTAGTGGTCCAATCTAACTTCTGGAAGGGGCGCTCTACAGTGGCCGCTTCTAAAAATCCCGAGGGGTTTTCGGGATTTCAATCTTCACCCCCCATTGAGACATGAGATCCCTCCCCCACAAGGGAACCTGATAATCCGCAACGAATGGGCATAAATTAGCCAATTGCCCATCCGGCCCCGCAATTTGTACCACACTCTTTGAAATTCGAGCCAATTGGATGCCCCCTATACCCTGTATCTTTCCTGCCACGGGTTGCAACTCCCAATGTGACGGCCACCTCCTTTCAGGAATGACCGTCACATCCGCTCCTGTGTCAAGCAGGCCCTTCATTTGTAAGGATTCGGCACCCTGCTTGACGCTGCAGTCTATGATGGGTTTATCCTCACCCACTACTTCTGCCCAGTAGACACCTGGTGCATGGTCGTCTACTGGGATACCCTCGGGAATGGGGATAAACTGGGCGATGATCTGGCCTTTAGGGAGAAAGTATGGTGGGTGAGTGCAGCGCGCTAGGAGAATGAGGTTCTCCGGACCACCTGGGAAGGTGATCGGAGAAATCTCAATCTCTGGGGGTGTGTGCTTGGTGTCCCCGATGGCAATGTACTTACTGACGTGTCCTGAATCCATCATTGTCCCCTCCAGTGGGTCCACAGCAACTACTGTCCAGTGCTGGGACCGAAAGAAGATGTCACGAGCAGTAACCAAGTGTCGCGTCCGGTATATAGGCCCTGTCCGATTTTGTGATCCCCCCCCCACCGCGAGACCTGCCCCATTTCTTGCTTCGCGCGGGGCAGGTTCGTGCCGCGCTCCTAGTTTTTTTTCTTTATTACCCCCTCTTTAGCCCTTCCTCCCAAATTGTTCCCTAAATGTCCTTGGCAAGGGTGGGCAGCTGGACAGTCTCTTGCCATGTGACCCAGCTGCCCGCAGCGGTAACACTGTAATGGCCGTGCAGGTGGTGGTGGAAACTGGCCCGTTGGTTGCTGGGTCACGGCTGCAGTAGGCATCCTCCTCGGTGCTAGCGGTGGTATGGCCTTGGACACCCCTACCATCGGAACCTTTTTAGTGCAGGCTTCGATGAGGATGTCCAGCGTAGGAGGCGGGTAGAGAGGCAGGCTGAAGATCACCTGCTTGCAGGCTTCATTTGCGTTGGCCTTGGCTGCTTCTAACACAAACTGTTCTTGCAGCTCCGCTCTCTCCACCTGTTTTTCTACCTGCGTTTGCAGCCTATCCACAAACTTGGTAAAGGATTCGTTAGGGAGCTGTTTGATGTTTAAAAAGTTAATCTGGGGTTCCTCCTCGGGTAGGGTGTTAAACGTTTTTTCTGCGGCTTCCGCAATTTTGATCAGTACAGGCCGGGGTAAAACCCTGGCCTGTTCTTCTGGCTTTGCCCAATTCCCTTCGCCGCACAGGTGGTCTAGGGTAAGAGGGTTTTCATCCGCGTCAACCGCGGCTTCTTCGCTGTGCAACAGCTCTGGAAGGATGGCCTCTAATGACCTCTTCCACCCCTGTTTCCACAGCTTGAATTCAGCTGGGGAAAGGAGGCAGGAAAATAATTCTTTTAGATCATGAGGGACCATTTCATTTGTGGAGAAGGTAGCTTTTAGTAAACCCTTAAAATATTCACTTCTTCTCCCAAATTCCTTCTGCGCTTTGCACAGCTCCCTCTTAGTCTGGAAGGAGAAGGCTTCCCATTCTCGGTACCTCCCCCCCCTTCCACGAAAACTGACCGGTGCAGCAAAGGGAATTTCTACCTGTTCCGAGTTCTGGCTCACAGGCCTGTCACTTCTGGTTTTCAAAGCGTGGGAACTGGAAGGAGGGGCGTGGGAACCGGAAGGAGGGGCATGGGAACCGGAAGGAGGGGCGTGAGAACCAGAAGGAGGGGCGTGAGAACCAGGAGCCGGAAGGGGCGGGGCTGGAGGACTACCCGAGGAGGAGGGCGTGAGGGAGGAGCAACGGCAGGAAGAGGCGGGGTTTGGGGGCGTGGAGTTGATTAGACACGCCCCAGAGGAGGAGGAATCGCTCGAGGGGAAGTGGGAGGGGTCAGGGTAGGAGGAAAGGGAGGAGCTAGGGAGGAAGGGGTTGGTCACAGGGGGAAGAAAGGGATTGTGGGAAGAAGAAGCACAAGGGGGGGAGCCGACCATGCGGTCCCCGCCATCTTGTGCCCTCTGGGGGCCATTTTGAGGTTTGGGGAAGGAATAAGGAAATGTATGGGAACAATGGGAACAAGGGGATACTGGGGGACACAGGTTCTGGGGTAGCAATTGAGGGTTTACAACTTTATTTAACTGGGGATCAACAACCTGGGAAGCACTTAACTTGGGACTGGCAACTGGGGAAGCAGGGGGATGGATAAGGGCTCTGGCAGCTTGGCCAGGGCTGCCAGGGCAAGGGTTCTGAGGGAGACGTGGGGAGCCAGGGAGACTGTTGCCACTATTGGAGCCCTGCGCAGCACAGGCAGCTCCGCAGGTCTCCCCCAACTTAGGATCAGGGGTTGAGGCACACGGGGACTGGGAAACTGGGGAAACTGGGGAAGACTGTGGTGGCTGTCCCTGCACTCCCCCTTTTTCAATTAAAGCCGAACGAATCAGAACAAAAAGCGGAATTAATTTCGCAGCTGTCTTATCCCCCTGATTAACCAATAGTGTTAATTTGGTTCCAACTGAATTCCAAAACAAAATTGAACTTATATTTTCAGGGGACACTTGGGGGTAATGCAGAAACAGCCAATGCACCAGTCTTTTTACCCACCCTTGGGAAAACTTTCTACTCCCACCCTCAAGGATACCCACAACTTGGTGAAAAATCCCCCTCTGCTGAGCCGACATGCGTGCACCCATCTCTACACCCCCGGCTTAACAGTCCCACCACCTCCCAACAGCAAAGGACAACAGAAAAGAACAGAAAATAAGGGTCCGGACCTGCACCGCCTTTTCTCCCCCCCACAGGGAAGCCCACACCTTTTTTCCCCCTCTCTTGGGAACTCACCAGGTCCGGACGACAGCTGCAGGAGGTGTCTGCGACCCTGAGGCAATCCTCCGCACGCTGAGGGTTGCTGCCTCGATCCCCAGGAGCGCCACCCAACAAAAATGGGTCTGCTTCCCACCGGGGTAGCTGCCGCCCAAAAGTCTTTGACAATCCACCTGATAGACTCCTCCGGGGGTCTTCAATCCACAGGAAAGAGGCCCCACGTTGGGCGCCAGCTGACGCTGCGCTCTACACTTTCCCAGGCTTCGGGCTAGCTCCAAACAACTTGGCTAATGGCAGCGCCAAGAGTGGGGAACGACACGGGAGCGACAGTCCACGTGCCGAACCTCCAGAGCTCCTTGTGCTCGGGCTCTGTAGATCCCAGGCGTCACGGGTTTCAGTAAAGGGATGGAGGAGGCTCAGAGTCTCTTTGTCTTCCCAGGAACAGGTTTTATTGAAGGATAAAGGGAGCAGTGACAAGGGAAAGGGCTGGGACAGTGAGAAAGGAGAGCAACTGAGCCCTGAACATCTCCGTGCTTCCAAATTTAAAGAGGGGAGGGTACAAACCGAAAACCAATCAGAACACAACCTGGGAGGAGACGAAGGAGGGGTTTACAATACTTGGGACCAATGGGAGGAAACCATGGGTGGGACGGTGGCCACAACGCCAATGGGGCCTCGAGTAGGGGATGAAGGGCATGGAAAATGCTGGAACAAAGGGCAGGATTAACAATGACGGACAAGGGCTAGGGGCAGACTGAGGGTGATAGGCAGGGAAGGTTCAGGAACAACGGGAGGGGTTTTACTAAATTGACAACTGGGGCAAGACCATTACCTGACAGTAACAGAGGGATAACAGGAACATACCATTAAATCAAACAGAATTAACAAACAGAATGCAACACTTTTCCAGTTCCTCTCTACTAGATAGAACCAAATCCAAAACACTTCAACTCCTGGGAAATGCACACATTTGGGCACAAAATACAACACCCTCTTTCCTTCCTGTCCTTCCAGAACATGCTGTCTCCACTGTAAACATATTCCACTTTTCTTGCTCATCCCACTGAAGGAGGCCTGAAATGGGACTTTTTTGGGGTAACACCTCATGTGTAGATGTATTTGAGGTTCCAGGACTGGAGTTAAGATGCCAAAGAATCTTCTTCCTGAGATGATCGTCCTATCTTCCCAATAAACTGCATCTACCCATGGTCATGGAAGATACCTAATGAAAGAATATCAAAATAAAGCAGGAACAGGCTCATATTGCCCTATTTCTGTGGCATTTTCCTCCACCTTCAGGCAGATTCCAGCTTGGGGTTTTCCCATGCTGCTTTGAGTTTAACAGTCTCTGATAGTCCTTTCTTCCATACGGTGCCTAATTGCTTCTTGAACCTATTTATAACTTCCAGAGCATCTTATTGTGATGAATTCCATTATTTAATTATGCACTATGTGAGCAAGCACTTCTTTGTGTAAATCTTTTGGCTGATCATCTCATCTGGTACTCACTAGTTCTTGTGTAATGACTCCATGCTGAGTCAAATTCTGTTAAAGTGTCTCCACATATCTTGCTTTTCACGGCTAAAGACTCTGTCATGGGTCAAAGCTGTTATCTACTTTTGATCACCTCTCTTGACTTTTTGTTTAGTAATTCAGATACTTCTGTGCCTGTCTTAGATGGGAAAACCAGAACCACACATGCTGCACTGGCAATACAAGTAACAAAGGTGTTTGTTTGTTTTGGGTGTTTTTTCTAGACCTACCATGCTATTTTTTTATTTTTTTTTATTTATTGACACAGAAATTTATTTTCCAGTTTCTCTCCTAGCATCAGAAGATCATTCTGCAATGTTTTGCAATTTTTATGACAGCGTGTAATATCACATCTGCAGTAAAGTTTGTTGTCCTATTGCACAAGATTTTTCATCTCTAGTCAGCCGCTGTCTCTATTGATTGTGCAGTTTTGTCTCTATTGATTGTGTGGTTATTCTGGAGCCTCACATCTACTGACTTTATTATTTTAATTTTATTTTTTTTTTTAAATCAAACAGTCTAAAAAATTGATTAGGAACAGATGCTACTTGTAGGCACTGTAGATCTGTGATCAAAATTCTTGAATGCTTTTCTGGAACCCATTAAATAATCACCATGAAGTAGAAGAGATTGGTTTTATGCGTGGCCACTCAAGAGCAGCTCAAAGCTGGTATTTTCTGTAATCTGCAACCTCATATAGCTCTGACTTCCATAAGATGCACTTAGTGATGGAAAGGTCTTTTTTCTTTAAAAGTTAATACAGTAAGTGTTAAGGACATTGACAACAAGGAAATTATCTTTGCTCTGAGGAACCGTGGCATTTTTTGCAGCTGTGATTGCAAGCAAATGTTTAGCAAGTGGGAGGCACTACAGAGCAAGTTCCTTTATCCATCACATTACCCTAATAATTAAATTGTCAGCCAGGGAAGTCAGGCTTTAATAGGAAAAAAAAAAATGGAATCAAACAGTGGCAAAAAATTGTGACTGTTCCTCCAGTTAAGCCTGTAATTTAAAAAAAAATCATTATGTTTGTGTAAGGCATTGCTCAGAACACAGATTTTTAATTTTTTTTTAATACTTTTTATATGTTTTAAAATAACAAGAAGCTATTTAGCCACTCTCCTTTGTTCCTGTGACTCTGGAAAACAATTATCCTAAGAATTACTGGTAATTTCTTTATTGTGGTTTATTTTCAAAAATTAACTCCAGGGCTGTTTCCTAGAAGCTCTAGGCACCTTTTCCTCCAGGATTGTAAATGCACCTGATGGTTTGCTTCTCCTGAGGTCTCCCTGTGGGATTATTCTCCTGGATGTTAGATTATAGGGGGAAGTCATCCATCTGCTCTGGTTCCTTTGTGATGAGACACAGAACGCTGTTCCCTGTATTTTTTTTTTCCTAAATACTGTGTTTTACAAGGTGTTTTTCCTGCTTTCTGCTTCCACTGCTTGTGGTTCAGATATACTGAAATGGGTGGCTTGGAAAGAGCCACAGAGTCTCAGTAAAAGATTATGAAAAATGCAAGAGTGAAGTGAGATGTTTGCTCCTGGATGGTGGCTCTGCCCTAACTCAAAGGCATCATCCTTCCAAAAGATAGTTTTCTTCTCCTTCTCTTATGTTAGCATCCTGATAAATGTTGCCTGACTGTAAGGATAGACTTGGGGATAAGAATAGTTTACCTCTGGGAAACAGACAAACCCTGCCCATTGACCTTTATCTCTGAGTGGTAGGGACACTGGGCACCATCATGCTTGGCCAAAAGCTCTTTAACCCAGAAGTCTCAATTGTGTATCTGATCCAGATGAAACCACTGGCTACAGAAGGCTGAATGTTGTTTGTGAATTCACCCCTAAAGAAACAGAAAAATCAAAATTATCATCAATACAAGATAATAACATCTCCTTCTATATTTTGACCCATATTTTTCTACACTTGGACTAATAGAAAAATACAGCACACACCACGCTGTGAATAGCTGGAAAAGGATGATTTCTTTATGTTAGTACTTTCTTTAATGACTCCCTGTGGTAAACGACATTGTGGCTGTCATCTCCTTTGTCCTCTTCCAACCAGGCCCAGACAGAGAGAAGTGCAAGGCTTTAATATCCCATTACCAATTTCCTGAGCAACAGAATGCCAAGTTCCAATTTGTGTTCTAATTTTAACTACAGTATAGATTTTTAAATAAGTTTCAAGCTTCCTATTAACATGATCTGTCTGCTCCTTTGGTGCTCTCTCATCCCATTCTGATCGACCCATGAATGGGCTCCCTGTATTATTCATTGTACACTAAATTAAGCTTTTAGTGTTAAAGGCTTTCAAGTGTAGCTTTCTTTCTGTAGAACTCATTACCTGTGTCAATACACAAAGCAAAAGCACTTGATAGATTTAAAACATCCAGTATCTTCCCTTTTTTACAGCTGTTATTATGCCTCAGGAGCATCTGTTATTCTGCTAATATTCCTGATTGTCCTGATATTAATTTCATTACAAAGCAAGTGTGCACTATAGAGTTTCCAAGTGTCTTTGTGTCACATGAACTTTAATTAGAGTTTAGTTTTTCTTAAAAAGAGTTAGGCAAATGAAAGTTATTATGGTTGGTCATGGCTTTGTACACCTTCAGAAACTAGGAAACTTGTTTTCATCACCTGTGGAAACTCAGGAATAGTAGCATAGAAAAACCACAAATAAAAAAACACAAAAATGGCAAAAATGAAGTACAGGTTTCAATGGTATACTGCTGAGTTTTGTTACAGTCTTTGAATTTAGATTTAGTGGGGAAACATTTGAGTAAGTGTATAAATAGATTCTTAGCTGCATTTCCCTGCACTGCTCACTGAGGCACCCCACAAAAGGAATCACCCACAGATGTGTGACCCCCACATCTCTGTAGCAGGAAGAATCAGAATTTTCTTGATTATATGGTTATTAACTACCCAGGATGGACTTCCTGAAAGTGACTGGACAGGTTACTTCTCTCAAAGCTCTTCCAAGTCTCTTCAGGGCTGTAGCTCTAATAATGCCTAAAGTTTCCTTTCCATCTTGTTCAGCGTCAAAATTACATGCCCATGTTCCCAAGCTGTAGTGTTCTGTCCCTTTCAATGCTCCACTATGGGACATACATTAAACTGAATCACTGAACCCAAAACTTTTAAAATCTTGTTTATTTTATACAGGTAGGCTAAGTACAGTGATTTGGCTTCAACATACTCTTTTGTTCCTGTTGCCCAAAGAACCAATTTCCAGCAAAGCCTTGCAAACCATTTTAGCAGCTCAGCAGAAGCTGTGGAGTTGAAAACTGACATGGGGAAGAAAAGGCCAGCAGGGCTCAAAAGGGGACTGGGAAGATGCTAACTTCTCTGCTCTGGAAAAGAAAAATTAATGGAACAACACCCTCACACAGAGCCCTGTGAGTGAGATTTTCTTCACAGGCACAGCATGCAAGGGTTATGGACATTTGGGGGTTTGCTTTATTTTCAAAGAAAGCTGAGATACAAAAGGGCAGCTTGCAGAGCAAATGAGCATGACCAGTTATCTCAGAACTTCAGTCTGCTGTGATCCAAAACTAAGCCCTCCTGGGTCTTCTGCCAAGCTGTTTCATTCTGTTAGTCCAGGAATAAACTCCTGCTGTACAAATAATGGATGGCCAATGTCTTGTTTAATT